CGCGCTGAGCGTCACGACGAATGAAAATCGAAATAAAAAAACGTGTCGTTTCGTGAACAACCATCCATTGCTTCATATTGTGTAATTTAGCAACACTTCATGGACAGTAAGGCCAAGACCTTCTTCCTTTCAAAAAATATACTCCGATCTTCACGAAATCTGATCGGTTCGAGTCACTTCCTCGATCGGTCTTCAGTCACAAGGCAAAGGCAACGCGAGTTGTCTCGCGGTTATACTGTGAATTCGGTGAACTTTATAACCCCGGTGTCAGAGGTGAGGAAGAATTTTCCACGTGCCAATAATTAATATACGCCGGATCGGTACGATAATTATCGAGGCGGCTTGTTATTAGAAGTTATCGGGGTATTTTCGGTAGGCGGTAAATCGATCGAGCGCCGGTAATGAAATTCCGATAACCGCATCGCCAGAAAATGCCCCGGTGCAACCGGTACCGGTTTTTGTCGTTGAGTTCGTGTGGAACACGCCCGCGATCGACGGCTCGTCGATCGATCGAGTGATTCGCTCTTGTCGTCTTTCAGAGGCCGTAAGAGGCTCGGAGCAAGTTCCAATGCGGCGGATGCCGGTCGCGTTTTTTTTTTTGCCAGCGATTTTATGAAAGTTCTTAAAGTCTCGTTCGGAGCGAATCGTCTCCCGATGGGACCTGCGAGACGGTCCTCCGGTAACGGTGTAACTTTTACATCGCTTTTAATCCCCGAACGTCTTCGGTAACGCTCGTAAAATTGACCGGTCGGGAACCGGTTTCAACTTTCCTCCCTCACCCTCGTCGCGCGTATTTTAATTAATTGGAATTCTAGATATTACCTTGTACTATTTTTTTCTTCTCTTTTTTTTTTATGAACGCCCTTATCTTTCCTCAAACTTTCACCTCGGCACCTCCGATGGAAACTACGAGGAGAATAATAACGATCGGCTGCTGGCGGAGCATTCCACCGGCAGAAGCATCGGAAATATCTGGCAGGCTGGCGCGTCTATTACGTTTCCATGCAGATCGTAAACCGATGCGTCGATCGCGTATATCCTGGTGGCGCGCGATAAAATTCGCGTTAGAGGCGTCGGTTGCAGCCGAACGGTGGTTGCAGCCGAGGCCAATTAGGATGTTCTTCGCGGTGGGACGAGTTAAAAGACGATTTGTCTCGACGCTTCCTCGTCTCTTTTTCTCTGCCCCAGCCTTCGGCGTTTTCCACCGGTGCCGCAGATTTGTAAGTTTCGTTATAGATCCGCGGGAACATTCGTCTTCATCATCGCGCTGACGTCTTTCCTCTCCGTGGTTTTCTTCTCCGGTTAACGACCAGCCGCGATTTAATACACAAGAGGCGGTGTGTATTAAAATCGATAAAATCGAACATCGATTTTTCACGATCGTCGGCGCCGCTATTACTCTTCTCCGCTCGCGCACGGCAGGCAATCGTTTTGTCATCGCATCGGCGATTGCCAAGATCGTGCATTTTCGGATCGCTCTTCGCTCGCGCGTTGTACACGTACGTTCTAAAAATTCGACGGAGATTCGTTTCGGTGGAACGAACGGAAATCCGCTGAAAGTTTTTGGACTAATAAACCGTGATAGCATCCTCTCTCTCGCCGGGAAGTCTCGGTGCACAGTCACGGACGGGCCGAGCGTTTTCGGGTGCAAAGTAGACGGCTCTCATCCTCCTCCGTATAAAACACCGCGCCGACAGACTGCGCCATTAATGCGGAGGATCCTCCGAGCCCGACTCGAACTTGCGCTCCGCCCGGTGGCGTGAAACTTTTGAATCTGCTCTTTGAATATTTACCGAGCTTCCTGCTCCGAAATTCATCCCTATCAAGGACGGTTTCGCTCCCTAGCGAACCGTGGCCCCGTCGACCACTGACTCTCCCCCCTGCCCCTCTTTCGTCCCGGAAGAAGACGAAAACACGAACGACCGCGCAACATCTGCCTTTTGTAATCTCTGGACCCGTATAATGGGAAAGGGAAAATCCGCGGCAGAACCCTTTGTCCGTCTTAAACGACGTATTGATTATAGTTCAAGTTCCCGCTCTGTTCTCGGATTCATTGCCCTCGCTCGGACGAGAAGTTTTAAATCCGGCTTGTGAATATTTATCGAGCGGCTGCTTCTATATTCATCGCTCGTTGTCGTCCACACTAGGCACGCGCGATTCTGGATTCCGTTGAATTTCACCGTCCCGTTCGTCCTCATCTTGCCCGCCGAGCTTTTGTCCGCCGAGTTAACTTGGCATGTTCTCAACGTAGTGTTTTACGCTCGCGGTTGCGGCGTGGTCGAACAGACCTCCCCACACACACGGGTGTGTCGATTCGACTCGTGCGCGCTCCATTTTACTTGTCGACAGCCAGTCGGGAATTCGATCGGGGAACGATTCGTTTTCGTCGGTGAACTTGGCATTTCCGGCCAAGTTTCGGGACGGAAACAACGGAAAACCGATTCCTTCCTCGAGTCTGGAGAAGGTGACTGTTCCCACGAATGAACGGCAGCTCCGCTTAATTCCCGCTCGGCGAGGATAGATCGGATTCCAGAGAATACTTCGATGAACGCGAGGAGAAAAAGTCTTTTGTCACGCAGGATCGATTTCTTCCCATTATGTGCGGATATACTCTCGGCCGTGCGACCGAGAACCCGTTCCTCCAAGTCTGGCTGCCCCCTCTCGGAAGCCGCAAGTTTTAAAATTTCGCGAGCACACGCTCCTACGGAAGATCGCTTCGACATCGACGAGAATATAATGCATCCTGTTAAGTCTTTTTGCCACAGAGTCGGAGCGAAAAGTCGTCCTAGGAAGAAGCCAGTCAGTTTCTCGAGTGGCGAGGCATATTGGCAGCAGCCCCATTTTCTTCCTGTTTTTCTTCTCCCATATTTTTTCCCTTCCACTCTGTTCGAAACTCTCTCGTGTCGAGCGAGGTGCCTCGTCTCGGCACGACAGAGAGAGAGAGAGAGAGAGAAAGAGACTTTCGTGAAACTTTGTTGGCCGTTTGGTTGGTGGAAACGCGTATTCCATCGAATCGACGCGCGCAGTTTTGGTACGGTGGTTCTTCCTCCGGCGACGGATGTTTCTAAAATAACAATCACGTCCCGTATACATCAGGCTCCCGTAAATTGAGAATATCCATCTCTCTTTCCATTTGTTTACTTATCGACGTTGTCTCGCGGACTGGTTTTCGCGCGGACCATCGACACGAGCAACCGAACGATGAAATCTCGTTTCGCGACACGCTTCCGCGCCAGACCAAGTTAAAGCTTCTGCGACTGGCTCGCGTCGTTTCGGCCAGGATATTGGTTGGCCGGCGTATTTCCGGCATCAGCCAGACGC